CAACCCAGGCTCTCCCCACACTGTGGTCTGTCTCTGGGCTATGCACATATGCATATAAATTCTTTGGTTAATCTTTTCCTGTCCCTGCCACCTCCCTCCCCTCTGACTGCTCCATGCTTCCCTTCAGGACCTATTTTGTTCATGTTTGTACTTTTTTAATACATAAGGTACTTTGAGCTCCCTGAAAAAAGACCTTTTGAAAATATAAAGTCCCTTGTCATTTTTCCTAAGAAGTTAAGCAAAATTTTAAATTGCTTGAGAGGTTCTAACAGGTGAATTTGTTGGTGATTTTTTTCAGTTTTATTTCAGAAATGGATCTTGAATAAAATCGTAGTTACTATCAGTGGAATAGTACTTATTGGGCCTGGAAAATCTTATTGGTTCATTAAAAAAATCCAATCCTTTTTAATAGTGATCATCATTACTCCTAGGTTAGAATCAAAATTCTATTCATATTTAAAAACACTCTTATGTAGTGTAACATTTTCAGAAATAAAATTAACATTGATAACTATTCGTAGTTTATTTTTGCTATCAACATGTACTTTTCTGTATTTCATACACCACAGGAATATTCTGAAAACAGCTTGCAATTGGCATCTTATAAAATTCTTCCTGTTATCTGCCCAAACTTTGACTTTTTGGTTTTAATTCAGGCTCTCCTTTGGGACTTTGAGAAAGGAAATAGTTTACCTGTTGTTTCATGTCTGTAATTGAAATTATGCTTTTCCCTAAAATGGACATATTGTACCATGCTTCATATATCACTGGAGAAGTCAAGGGGGTCAGTGGAGACATGAACATTTAGATAGAGCAAGAGACTCTTGTAAAGCTTAGTTCCTAAAGAAACTTTGAGTCTCAGACAGACTATATATCATCTCATTTAATTCTCACTGTAACTCCATGAAATAAACATTATAGTCATTATCATACCTAATTTAAGATGTAGCAATAAGCCTGGATGCTAAAATACTTGTAATTAAGAAGTAGGAAGAAGAGGATTTGAACATATACTTTCTGGCTCCAAAGTCTTGGTGTTTCTTTCTTGGTGGCTTCTGTAATTTCCTTATTTGCATTTTTTTTTTTTTTTTTGCTTGCACTTTGATATTTTAAAAGGGATACAAAGCAATAAGCTCTATACATTACCTTTGGTGCTGCTCAACTTATCTTTATATTTAATGATTGACTTTCTCTGGCAACAGCAGGCACTTAGTCTTGACACTTCCTTATTTTTTCACTGCCGCCAAAAGCTGATAATACACTTGAACTGCTCACACCAGAAAAGTGTTTTGCTTTAAAAAAAACCCTGCAATGTTATATGTATATTAATTCAAGCTCCATGAACTTAAAGAAGTCTCATGACTGCTAGTTTGAAAACTGAAGTTGATCTAACACATATTCCTCTAAACAAATAATAAAATAAAGAAAACACAGAGCAATGTATTTCACCCATCCCACCATTCCGGGAAAGCATCATAATGTCATCTAAGTTTTCCCTTCCTAAGAGCCCTACTGCAGCCTTGACCAGATCTGTTCACAATTGCAGACCGGCTCACTGAAAACTGGAAGCATTGTGTACACTGCTTAACAAACCTTAGCACTTCTTTGGAAACTAGTGAGATACCAAAGCACAGGTTATCACACACTTAAGTATCTCTTAAGACCAACATAAAACTTTTGTAAACAAAGACCTGCAAGGTGAGTGCACTAATTTGGCTGGTGTTTTTTTTCTAATTCTTCACTCCTTAGTAGTCAAGAGAAATTTCCACCTTAAAGTAAGTTTTTATGTCTCAAAACACTTCTTTGAGATTGAAGTTCTTAAAAACAGCAAAACGTTAATTATGTACTCCAATAAACTGGTCAACTTTTTTTGAAAGTACAATATATATACCTTTCTAAATACTTCGAATATCTGTGAACTTTATGTTGAGGTGTATGGGCCTACCTTAGTACTGAATAAGAAATAAAAAATTTGGAAGTAAGTTTTGTCCACAGCTGCTTCCCAAATAAATCTGAATACTTACAGAGATGATTACCCACCATCTTGAAATACAGAAAGAAAATAAAATTTGCTAAGAAAAAATCAATTAAATTTATTTTTATTTAACTACTAAGTCATTCATTGATGGATTAAAGAGCAACAAACTTTTATCGAGTTTCATTAACACATTTGACGTTTTTATTTTTTAGAATATAGTCTACATCTGGATTTAAAAAGTTTTAAATAAATTTAAGACATATAATAACAGTGGAACTCTTCATCATTCTATGAACAACACATATAGAACGTCAGTTGGTTCCATTTCAGACAAGTCCACTTTCTCATAATAATGTTATTATTTCCACTGGTTGAGTGGCAAGCTTCATACAAGCTGGCACAATGCCAACTTACACTCACTGGGGTAGGGACAGGGGTGGCGTGAAAGATGTGGGTAGAGTGTCATAGGACAACTATACTGTGTAACAGAAAATCATTAATAAACTAGTACCGGTTACCCACAGACAGTGCTATTTGTGCGCTTATCACAATGGAATCGCCCAAGTTTCAGAGCAAGGAGATTCGAAACACTTAAGAAAGGGCCACTGTTACAAAAAGAAATAGTGCAAACAGGAAAACTGATGCAATCCTAGCAACGTTGCGGCCTCCACCAGCCCCAGAGCGGGGAGGCGGGAGGCTGCAGCGTGCCCCGCCTTCCCCAGCACCAGCTCCTCTGGGCGGCGCTCCCAAGTGTGGCAACCCAGAGCCGCGCCCTGGCATGGCCCCTTCTGGGCCCTCCTCCGCCGGAAAGAACAGAAAAGAAACTCCAGGAAAGGCACAGGCTGAATGCAGGGCGTCAGCCCAATTCCATCCCCACCCAGGTAGAACACAGCCCCCCTCCACCCCACCGTCCCCCGGAAGGAAAGGAGGTCCTTTACCTTCTCCCGCCGCCACTTTCTCTTCTTTTCTCCCAAAAGAGACCCCCTCTTGCATGCAGCCCTGCCGCACATCCTTCACTTACTCAGACCCCCAACTTTGCAGTTGGCCCATCTCGCCCTACAGCCAGAAAGAAAACAGCTTTGAGTAAAGAAAAGGTGAGAGATGGGGCAGGGAAGGGTGCTGGGCAGCTGCGGGCCGACCCTCCTCAGTGGCCCCAATTGCTGAAGCCAATCTCCTGCTTGTATCTGTTGGTGAGGATGTTGGCTTTGCGCGTGAGTTTGGAGAGCACAGTGTGCAGCCCGCGCAGGTGGTAGTGAAACTGCTGTTCCAGGTCCTCCTCACCGGCGTCCGCGCCCTCCAAGTGGCTCAGGTCCACCAGGATGTCCTTGGACTTCCAGGTGCTGCTCTCCTCGCTTCCCGCCGGCGGTGGCGGCTGGTGCAGGACCCCCCACTCGATGTCGTTGCGGATGGACTTGAGCAGCATGTAGTGGCTGTACATGTCCCGGGAGGGCGCGAAAAAGCTGCCGTTGGCGCTGCCGGCGCCAGCGGCCGGAGGTGTGCGCTCCTCCAGACAG